ATTAACCGCCCGTGAAACATTTACGAAACATTCGAGTAAAGTGAAGTTGCATTCGTAAAGAGCACTTTATGCAATATATATCGATCTAATGGAGGTTTAAAAATTGACAGAATGTATCGAAAATATAACCATGACGTTCGTATATTTCGATTTGTAAAAAAAAGTCAGTTTTGAATTTTGCCGTTGTTATAAAGGTGAAATATGAGTGTAAAATTACAAAAAAAATTTGTATTGTATAAAATAATTTTAGAATTTCTTTTATAGTAGTTAAAGCTTCTATGAATTTTAGTTTTTATGGCTGAACTGTTAAAACGATACTATCCTAGATACGTTGATGTACATAATTATATTGCTGGAAATAGTATTGCAAAGAAGGTAGAAAACTGGTGTACCTTGAATCGTAAGGTGTTGTCAAAACTTGACATAAAGTTGGGGAAGGATATAATAAATCAATTGGCGAACTCGCAACCGGGTGTTATTGAAAAAGTTTTAATTGATTTGCGAACTAAAATTTTAAAAGACTGCAATGCGGATAGGAATACTTTATATTCTGAATATGAGGAAAGCGAGAAAAAAGGTAGGCAGAAAATTGCAATAAATATTGAATCTTGCAAGAAAGTTTATATCGAAAACTGTTTAAGCAAAATTTTATTTCTGTAAAAAAAGTTGTTACGTCAGTGCTGAATCTTGAGGAGATAACGAATACAACTGTTCCGCGTAACGCTTTCGTCAGATTAAAACAGGAATTAGAAGAAAAAAATGAAGTAATAAGTACACTTCATCACAAAGTGTCTCATCTTGAATCATTGATAAAGCTCAAAGACCAAAGAATTGCAGATCTTACATCACAAATAATAAAATCTACGGAACAGAACGTTACTCCGAGGTCTAAAAATGTGAATTCCATTAATAGTACAAATGCAAAATTTCGAAACAAAATATAGTGTATTAGAGTTCTTGAAATGAATGTTTTAAGAATATTTTAAACATTATACTTCAAAAATTTGTATTATTTATTAACATGTAATTGATGAATAATTTTAATGTAGTGTACAGTTCAATTTACTTTTTGATATTTACGTTATAAGTTTTACATCTATGTAATAGATATATTATTTTGTCTGTTTTCGTATCACATCTGTCAAATACTAATGCAAACATTGATAATATTACATTAACATAGAAATCAATTCTACCTATGCCTTATTTTTTAGATAGGTTACATATATGTGAGAATTTTATATTGGTGCTCTCATGCTAGGAGGAGACACCAAAATTACTCCATCCCCACGTACAAAAAGCATAGAAATATTTCTTTTGGTTGTACGGTAAACTTCTTCATATGTTTCTTCGTCAATTTCCACTGTAGTAACAGTTTCTTCTGCTTCACCTAATACCATATTTAAGTGTTGATCGTATGCCTGAAATTAAAATTGATTTCATATTTGTTAAGACTGATATAGGTTAAGATGTTACACGGAGGTAAAATGATATTAACATGTAATCGTCCTCGTAATTCCCTCTCATTTCTCATTTTTACGTATATTCTCTCATCGAGGCTCAATCTTATCAGATCTAAAGGTTCTTTAACGTTTATTGCTGGTACCTGAAATAAAAATAAATATGATGCTGGAGTAGGTTAGATTTACGTTTGGAACCTTAAAACAAGAGTTTTTACCTGCTCTGTCTCATCTGCCATGATACAATTAAATTCTGTATCACTTACGAAATTGTTTTTAATTTATTACTTAGTATAGATTAAAGGATTTTGAGTTTATACAGTTATAAATGTTAGTTACTTGTCACACAATTCAAACATTGCGCAGCATCATTGGGACAAACCGGCAGTGTCACCATTTTAATGTACTATATGTTCTCTCAGCAAGTGGCGCCACAAACATATTTTTTTAAAAATATACTCCACTTAAATCTATATAATTTTATTTTGAAATATTTACCAAAATTTACACTCTGTATCACATATTCGTTGCATTACTTTTGCAAAATTAATAATTCAAATGAATTCACTGCTGATAAACAATTAAATAACAAGCAAATATATTTTCTAGTCCGAGAGCTACTACGAATAATTACCTTATGTCAGAAACAGCGTTTCAATTTTCCCGCGCATTAGTCCCTGACCCGACCGCATCGAGGAACCGGCGCTAGTGGCTAACGATAGAAATCAGCGTAGCTTGAGGTATTGCTAGAGTGAACGAGCGCGAGGGAGCAAGCAACGCCATTTTCTCAATTCGCGGGTGAACTCTGTGCGCTGTGTGTGAATCATTTGGCAACGTTTTTTACACGTTTCTGCTTTACGACGACGAAATTACGGGCTGTCCGCAGGCCTTGGTGCATTAATTAGTGTTATGCGTAGACACGCGGCCAGCTGTGCGGTGGATATGGTGAGTTCAGAGATATCGAAACGCTCCCGGGAGACGTGACGTTTTGTCAGTCGGCCTTTTCCCATTCCCCCTTCTTGGTGAGTTCCTGCAGGGATGGGTCGCGCATAGTTGTTCTTGATAACGTAACACAGAGACTAAACGGCGAATTGAGCGCATTTGAAATTCTCGTCGAGCACGCTTTCATGTGTAATTAAAAGAGTTTCGAAGGAACCAGGAACCCGTAGAATGTATCGTTCGGGCCAATGGGCGGAGGTTTAGGGCGGCACATGGCTGTTGGGGCGCCGGCTGTGCAGGGGGTGGTTTTCCTAACGCTAGCTTGAACTGACGAAAATTCATCATTCTCGTCAGTTACGGTACTTTGTGCGTAGTATATCCTTCGATCAAGATCGCATGTAATTGCAACCGGTCACGGTTCGAATAACAAGTTCACAGTGACAGTGGAAAGAGAAGTACTCCGTTATATGTCTCGATTTTCTTGCCGAAGAGAAGAAGTAGCTGGAGGCTTCGGCCTTTCGCGGATTACGAAGCGTGTCTCTCGTGTGCTGTAGCGTTCTGCATTTTCTGCACGTAAAATTCGGACGAAAGGACCAACAGTGATCGCGGACGATCTCTGGAAGAGAAATATCTGGCGATCTTTGTGCTGCTGCGAAGCAAAAGCCATCGGGTAACGTAAACTCCCTTTTCACATTTGCTTTAGTAAATTGTAACGCTGCTGTGCGAACCGCTTAATTCGACCTTCCGTGTTGATTTATCAATGGACCGTTAGATCGTACGGAACGTGTATGCGTCAGCATTATCGACCGATGCTTGTTGACATACTCGTGTCTTATTATTTTCTTTTATTTTCGTGCAAAAACATGGTGAGGTGGTTTGTTACACTTTTTCCTCTATTTGATTCGCTCACATAGGCGTAATGTTTCAATGTTTCCAAACATTAATTTTTACTTTCTACTTTTATCTGATTGATACGGTATTAGAGACTCGATGCACTCGCGCAGTTATTTTCTAACCAGATATTATCGATATTAAATGATTTTATCGTAAATTGCCTGCGATCTTATACTATATGGCGCTTGGTGATTAAAATTCGCCGTGACATTCATGCGCCAATTAACTCTCTCGGCCTTTCGACCTTGCTGGCATTTTAAACGTTTTCTGCCCTCCCAAGAAATCCGATAGCCAACTTTGCCCGTACCTCCAACGGTTAGTTCGCTAATCTTGGATTATCTTTTTCCGATAGGTCTTCCCGTGCGTGTCACTCGTGTCATTCTACAAATTCACTTTTTTTCGGTACATAAAGGAGCGTTCACAATTCGCCAATTTTCAAACTTTTAAGAGCGAAATTAACGTAAATTCTGTGCTTGTTAATAGTGTTGTTGGTAAAATCACATTTTTAAGCTAATTATGCTGTTTTTACAAAGACAGCTTATTGTTTGCGGTATTTCTTTGTTTCCTGAATATAATTAATGCTACAAAAGTATAGAATTATGTAATTAGTGGAGTAATTAATTGTAGTTTGTGTGTCGCATATTTTTCAAGATAATTTTCGTCCTTTTGAAGCTTTGTGCTGTTTTATCAGTTGATGGTATCTGTATTTTGCTTTATGGAGATTTTATCGATTTATGATGTAGACGTTTTATAATGTTACGTTGTCGGTACTCAACTAACCAGCTTAATTGTAACTGTGGCAAGCCTTCTTTAAACCAAGACCAATCGATTAATTTGAAGAAATGGTTAGAATAAATATATTTATTTATAAAA